AGAATGCAGCCTGGTAAAATGGCTTTAAATGCTCATAAGTCAATTAAAGAAATATGGTCTTTCTCTCTTTTTTGCTTAATGGCTTGTATCTTTTGTCTTGTCACACAGTTCAATGGCATAGAATTACAATAARTTACTTTTGCAATTATCAAACTCTTCAGCTTCTCTTTGGCATTCAACGAACCTCAGAACCTGTTTATTGCTTCATATACTTCACCATCATGAATATTAGCCTTTAATCAACTGGAACTCYAATCTTAATCTCACTATATTGCAGTGAAACATTTTATTAGGCTGAAGAAGATAGTATTTGTTACTATTTTTCCAATAAATGGAATACTTTCAGAGTGACCTTTTTAATCAGTAATTATAACAATATAAAATGTAAGAAGGGAAAACCTATTATACCAAGRAAAGCATTGTCTCATTACTTTTTATGTATTTTACTTAGCAACATAAAATCACTGAGAAGCTTCAGCTGAGAGACATCTATAGAGATCATGTGGTTCAGGCTTAGATCAGGAATTGCAAAAAAGTAAAAGAGGAAATTAYACACATAAACTTTTCATCAGGCAGACTGTGCACAGCTAGAATAACCCAAAGAGGTGTCTGCATTAGGGAACAGTGCTCCATGATGATCTCCATAGTAATCACGATTAGAAGGAAAAGAAACTGTCTGCAAAAGGTAAGCAGTRCTGGCTCAATGACTCCACTCTTGCAGAGGTCTCATAACGTAGGTTTGTCAGATACAAATGAAACAAGTTGTCTTCATGAAATAAAGAAGAGCAACAACACTCTTCAGTCATGCAACATCACCATGTCTTCTCTGCTGGAGCAGTTCCGCTGTCTTCCTGATTGCTGATATTTCTTTGTTCTAGACAGAGCTTATGCTTATTCCTGTCTTAATMATTTCATTGCTTCAAAGTCAGTTGCCCTTCAGGTTTTTAAAGGTCTCTACCTATTGCAGACCAATCTGACAAGAAAAGCATCTTTAAGACAACGGGGAAAATAACARCTCTCTCTCTTGAGACTATTTTCAAGTATTCAGTATACTGCTACTTCTCCAGCTATACACAGTACTTCGGCTGTGTTATGATCTGATTATTAAAGGTTCTTAGAAATACCTCTGCCTGAATTAAGGTGCAGACGAGACCATGTGCCAGTCAATAGTATGATTTCTATTTGTTGGTAAATATGAGATAGAGAGAGAAGAGAAAGAGACAAAAGAGAAATAGAAAATAGATGGGGGGAACAGAAAAGAGGTGACAGAGAMAAAGTAAAGAAAATATCACCATCCGTGGATCCCAACRATGTTGCATTGATCCTCTCCAGCCAATCTTCTTGGCAGTGATGGTGCCCCTGGAAAGCACAGAATGCCATGGGTTAATATATGCTCAGGCCAGGTAGCAATGTCCAGGCATGTCCCCCCGGGGGAGGGGGCAGTCTCCTGCAGCAGACTCTGGATCTGTTGCATCACTCGCAGTCCTGTGGTGCAAGTGTTATGGGAAGCACTTTGGGGGTCTTTRATGGATTATGACATCSCCTCAGCTGCATCTCTTAGGAATGTCCCATGGATGYGGMMTATGGGGCTGGGGGTTCCACCGCTGGGCCAGTTTGTGTAAGGGAGRATGGGTTCACTGCCTCTGGCCAGAGGTCACACATGAAACCTCCTCCCCRTGCCCCCTGTTTTGGGGTGGAGAGTCTGTGTAAACGTGGCTTCTGTGGGCTGGGGTCTCCCCCACCCCATATGTAGCCAGGGAAGAATCGCTGCCGCATTTGGCTCTCTTGTGGATGCATGCCTTTTCCTCAGCCTCATTTGTTTCTCTCTAGGCTGAGATGATTGAACAACAGTGTCTTATCTCTGCARCTTAACTTACAGTCCAAAGTCACAGTTAGGTGTCTTCAGGGAGGCTTCTTTGGTWGTAGTGTCTTTATACAGTTTTTGTTATAATGAGCAAAACTTTATGTYAACGTTTGAGGCATGAACTATTTCAGTCTCTGACAGGTGGTTATACAGTACAAGATGTGTTAGGAGGGTAAAACATCCATATTGAAGTGGAGACAAAAATGGCATGTAATATTGAAATGAGAGATGTGATAATATRTGAAAGTTATTAATGGAACTTGTTAATTTTTGGTTTTAGGAATAGCCTTATGTAATATTTTCATTGGAAAAAAAAACAGGATTGTATAATGAAATTTATAGTTTGCATAATGTTTGGAGTTATTAAAATGTGAAGATCATGGTATGACACAGAAGTGGAAGCCCTTGAGAACTAGTATAATAGAAATGGAATTAAATATTATAGTACAAAGTATAAAATAATGCACTTAAAACTAATGACAAGAAATTTTATTATTAACATTGAGCTCATCATCTGGAAAAGATAGTTGCTGTGGCAATTAATCAGTGGATAATTGTGARATCCCATTGTGGTGTGGCCATGAGAGACTAAATGTAAGGCTGAGAGATCCAACTGTATCACATGAAAAATAATACTCAATGTATTTATAATTACTGATAATAAGGATTTAGTAAACCTGAATGGATTTCCTTTTCATCACCTTTTCCARTCACCATTTGACTGTACAGAAGCTTTTAGTATTTCCAATACTGACTTTTGGTMAGGAGTTCCATACATCCACTATTTACTGCATGAATACATAACTACTTTTGTTTGTTCCAGACTTCTTACTGAATAGGGGTTTCTTTYCGTGTTTTTATTGAAGGAGATAGTGGAAAATCTGTCCTTATATATCTTCTCTACAATGTCATGATTTTATAGCTGTTTATTTTTTTGCTTCTCAGTAATAATTTYCCCCCCCTATTCTGTTCTTGTGAAAGCCATTCTGTACCCTCAGTCATTATCCTCTTCTGAACCTTTTCTAATTTTACCATACCTTTTTTTGAGGTGGCAGATCAGAGTACATATAGTACTTTATATGGAATTTCTAACCATTCATGTAAGAACAATGCACAACAGAATGGGTTTGATAGTCAAGATACTTTTAGTCCTTCTAGCATCTTTGTTCCTTGATGAAGAATAAGAAGAAATTGAATTAAACATTTTTTCTAGAAAATTTGTGAAGGTGCAGTAAGAAAAGGCTCATAGAAAATGTATGAACATGTGTTGGAAAGAAAATGTTTGGTATCAGAGAAGATATAATTTGGGATTGCATTAGCTATCTCTAATTATGATAATCTGCTAGAAATAATTCAGATTGTATCTCAAGTAATCAAGATAACATATTCTTTATCAATAATTTAAGTTAAAATCTAACAGTAATCTCTAATATTGTGCAGAAARTAATGTTTTTAAGGAGGTATGAAAGACCTGTTTGTGAAAAGCATACAGAACAGAGGTGCTTTTCTAGTGGCCTCAAACTGCAGTGACTCTGAGATTTGCCTCAAATAAAAAAAAAATAAATTAAAAAAAAAAAAAAAAAATTAAAAAAAAAAAAAAGCAAAAAAACAACCCACAAAAAAAAAAGTGAAAGTACTAATACTGGTGCCATAGAACAAATTGTTGCTCTTGAGAACAGCAAGTGGAGGTTTATTTACATGGGTTAGAAATGCTTTTCCTGCAGTATTACTCTCAACTGCTGCAGATATGTTTACTAAGCAAAGTTACAGCTGTGCATATCAAATCTATTTTCACTGGACATGGTCTATCAGTGACAGCAATATGCAACAATAGGTCCCAGTTAAGTAGCTCTTGTTGAAGCAATTTGGAGGAAATTGCAGTGTAGGCATATCACTAGTGGACCCCTCTACCTCAGCCAGTGGAAAATTATGTGAAAGTACYTTGGAGAAAAAAGTGCTAAGTCAAATTTATATCAGAGTTGAATTACAGAATAGCACATATGAAAGAAAGTATGTTATAAGTTTGCATTCTGTTCACTGGAAAGCTGAGTTTCTGTATTGTTAGATACTGATGTAAGGGTCACTGAAGACAAATAGAACAATKCAAAATATGTATATGGATATGGTTTATGGTCATTGAAGCTCTCACTTCTTTTTGAAAATGATGCATTCTATTAAATCATAAATGCATTTTTGACAAAAGAGATATGAAAAGAGTTGTAGGAAGTGCTTATCCCAGWTACACAACTGTAGAGTTTCTCTGCAAAGAATCAGTTGTCAAGGACACTTTAGGTTAGTTTAGCTCTTAGACTCTTTTACCATTGGAGATGAGCTTTATTAATCAGCTTAAACAGTAGATTTCTTACAAGTATTTGAAATTCTGTTATCATAGTGCCAGTTGTTAGTTGCTGTTTCTGCCATRTTTGTCTGAGAGAAAGATTCCAGCATGAGCATTTTGGAATTGGACTGTCATTCAGACTATGCCATATGCTAAACCACAAATAGCTCAGATATGGAACTGAGTGGAGCTAAATCAAATTTCCTCATAGGCAGAGAGGTCTGAGCAAAGACCTYCATTCTTTCCCATGCTTCAGCCATCAATACCAAAGGACTGGAAGTCATATGAAAGCCAAATCCATAGCATTTGGGGAAGGGAGATTATCTAAAGAGATTATCTAATCTCATTACCTAATAACAGGGAAGGAAGGTGGGAGGTACGARTAGTAATATTAGCTGGAAATAAGTCAAATCACTTCTAGAAAGAAACAAACAGCAAAATATTTCATTTTCCAACAACTTGTACTATGCAATGTCAATGCCTTCCTGGTGTTTTATTTTTACTTTAAAATGCAGTGATAATGGAGAGATCTACTTTGAAATATAACCAGTTTTTATGGGACAATCTGAAAGTGGCAAATAAAAGCAGTTAACAAAACCTATAGATCATTACCAAAGTATACTTTCAAAGAAGTAAAGTATAGCAGGTAAAGAAGAAAGCAAGCTATTATTTGGGAGATCAATATTATTCTTCTTTTATATCTGTTTCTATGTTAAGCCAGGCTTTAGGGKTTTTTTTCTAAAAATATGTTACCACTAAACTGTGGGGTGGTTTTGTTTTGTTTGACTTTTTTTTAAGGTAAGAGGGCCCCCACCTGCAGGATCAATAAAACAAAGAGCACCAAAACGCACAGCTTTTCGCAAGTTTTATGACAGAGGAGACTTTCCAATCGCTGTTCAGCATGAGCCTGTAGCAAACAAAATCGCCTGGAAGGTAAGTCCTGGCACAGCTGTGACAACCAGCTGAGCTTATTGAAGTGACATCTCTCATTGTCAAACAAAGTTAGCTTGCAAGTAAACACACTGAAATAATTTCTTAGCAAACGGAAGATGGTGGGAAAGTCATTAGAGAAAGGCCCCTGAGTCAGCTGTCTGCCTTGGCTAGCAATTAAATTATATGCTACAAAAGGGAAGATAACAGAGTTGCTTTGCCTTAGAGAATTGTCTCCTGTCCAATTCATCTCTATTTTTATGAGGACCTAGCAATGCAGCCTGTTTCAGGCAGTCCATCAAATAGTACAAGTGGCTGGATACAGTGAGCAGCAGCCATTTATCTCCCCCAAATTTCACCTTCCTGCAGGACACTTCCAAATAGAAGCTTTAATTACCTAAATGGATAGGTCAAGATTGCCTGCTCCCTGAAAATGCAGAGCAGAATACAAACSAAGGCAGATTCTCATTCCACGGCTGTACTCTCAGTCTCCAGCATATGTCAGACAGCGTAATCACTGCCATACGTGCCTCTGTTACAGGCTGACCTCCACTGCTGAAACCATTACAGCTCCGACATTTCTCTGACAAAAGGTTAATTGGCTTCAAAATAAATGTATCGCCTAATGACTCCATTCTAATGCGGCTGTGTTTCTCTCTAAAATGCTTGGTGATGTTATTTGTAAAACTTGCCAATCTTCTAAGTAACTACTGCAGACTTTTAAATTTAATTTTAAAAATGAATGCTGATCTTTARCCTGCTCATACTATTTAATTATATTGGTTATCATGAATTACTTTATTTTTTGTCTTATTTATTGGACTAGAATAAGATTTTTCTGGAAGCAGCGATAGTTACAGAAAATTAACCAGATATGCTTGAACAAAATGTGTCAGATTTTTTGAATGTTTTAAATGGTTCATGTCAAAAACATGAGACCAAATTTAAATGTAAAGCTATGTTAAGTCAACACTAAAAGGAGGGATTTTGCAATTCTATAGCTGATTCTGCTTGTAATGAAGCCAACGGGATTAGSCCTGTAATGTGGTAAGTAGTACTGTATTTGATAGTAACTAAATTTTTAGGGTAGCTCTTTCGCTTATTGAAATACAGAAGAAAGAGTTGTGCTACTGTTTTGTTGCCTATAGCAGTGCTGAATCAGCACAAAGAACAAGTTATAGTTCTTGCAGCAAAGGGAGTCTCTATCCCAAAAGTCTTTACCCATAATTGGGATGAGATTCCACTGCAGCTGGGCTTTAGGCAACACTCAAAATTCCCTTGCTGGACTAAAACTCACAGGTTTACTACTTAAGTCTGCACTCCAATCTTTCATCACCAGGTAAGACTCAAAGGTGATTTTCAAGCAACTGCAAAAAATATGCACAATTTAGTTTTTATGTTGCAGCTTTATAATTTTAATTTCTCAAAATCGAACTGAGAAGTACAGAAATACTACTGGACTGGCATTCCACTAGATGATGCTAGTGACTGCTTAGTTGACTTAGGACACGAGGAAATTAAATGAAGCTGCATAAAGGATTCAGATGGGACTTTAGGAAAAGGGTTTTCATTGAGAGGGTGGTTGGTCACTGGAGCTGATTCCCTAGGGAAGTGGTTACAGCACCAAACCTGTTAGTTTCTGGATAATGCTCTCAGTCATATGATTTGGATTTAGGCAGTCCTATGAGTAGAAAGGAATTGTATTTGATGATTATTATGGGTCACTTCAAACTCGCTGACTTATCTTGCAACTACAGATGAATGCTAAAGTGTTTGACTCCTGTATCTGACAGTTTTAATTCAAAGACACTCATACGACTTTGAACAGTCACAACAGCAGAGTCTCAAGTCAAAGATCCAGCATGTATTTTTTTCTTAATACAACTTGCAGTCTTACAGACATGATGTCCAACTATTGCAGTAAAACACTGCATTCTAGCTGGTGCAATGTAGGAGTGACATGTCATGCAAGGGTTGTTTTTGCTATTCTGTTAATCCTTTCTTTTGGGACAAAGTATCAGAATTTCAGCATGAATGCAGGTAAGAAGCACAGTAGCAAACTATTCCATTCCTACATTAGTACGTTTTCAGATCCAACCTTATTTCCCTTATTCCATGCCACTCTATTCAGTCACAAATCAATCCAGACAGAGGTAGTGGAGTTCCTTGGGGCTATTGTTTAATTTGATATGCAATTGTCATTGATTATTGTGCAGTTTAAGTAGATGAAGCAGGCAAACCAGCATTTTCCAATTCAAACTTTACATCAGATACCTTCTGAAGCCTTAGAGGCTGCCCAGCGCTGCAAAAGGGTGAGAATATTATTCATCATTAGTTGATATTTAAAGGTACAGATAAATTAAAGTCTGTATTTTTCACTTGTTTTAAGGACATAGTTGCACTATCCAACAGACATCTAATGGTGAATTTTCATCAGTTCATCATATTTATTGTATATGTGATTAAAGAAGTTAAATTTTTATCAATGTATTTTACTAAATACTGCTTAAATTCATGACAATTGAAAAGATTTTTTACTAATGAAATGTGTCTGGGAAAATGCCCTATAAAAGCTYGGCTGAACTATACTTATTTGCATGAGTCATGATTGAGTGGAAGAATAAGAAGGAGAAATAAATGGTAACTGTGACATTTTAGCCCTGCTATAATTGCACAATATCAATGTTTTATTTTGAGAGGGTTTTTTTCCTCTGTTTAGTTATAATGTATATCATGGTTCATTKCATTCTTGTTAGTTTTTCTACCAAGTGGTGCATGAGAGAAAATGCAGGAGGGTATTGGAAATCTGATTTTTTACTGACAAAGAAAAATACTACAGGATTTTGTTCTTTCCTTGTTCTTTCCTGTGCAAATACACAGCTGTATTTTATTTGTTTCTTTGTTTTTATAATTACTGGAACAAAACTGTTACTGTCAGACATTAATTTCTGAAAAACTCTTTGAACACTTGTTCATTATATTGTAATTCTGTGGACAGAATACAGTAATTTTCAACCAGAACAGGAGAATCTGAAATGGTTTAATATGAATTGTGTTAATAAGTACCAAAAAACACACACRAATGACCCTTGATATTGTGATAGTTCTGCATATCTCCAATTTTAAGCCCACTGTTGATTTTCTGTAAGGTTTCTCTACATATAACTATGTTGTAGACCTAGATAAAACATAAATTTAAACTTCAGGAACTATGTAGAACTATTTCTGAGTAACTGCATGTGTTAAATATTTTATTATGAAATAACAGTGTTTAGTTGTCGTTGCTTAGCTTAATTATTTCCAGAATGCAATAAATTTACAAAGAGGTATTTTTGCACCAAATTAATCCTGAGCATAAACAAGATGCATATAAACCATGGTGTTTATCGTGATGTCTTTTTTTTTTTTTTTTTTTAAAGGGACCCAAGTAAATTAGAGTTCACCATAACACCATTATAGCAAGATGTGTGTTCTTTGTGAATTCTCTAAATCTTTAAGACAGGCATCACTTTGAAAATTTCAGTAATGCTGTCATTCTGGTTTTACTATTGTTGCAAATTCAAATAAACCTGTTTCAACCTAATGGAAAAAAAATAATATACATTTACAACATGTTGTAAACAAAAACAGGAAATCTAACTTGATTTTAAAGAATGCCATCCAAAGGAAAAAAAGAGGATCAAAAAGACTCTGATAATTCCAAAAAAATTATGTGGCTATAGAGGATATAATCACATTTATTTCTAAAAGGAGAAGWCATGACTGCCTTGGGGCTCCTAATATTTGTTTTCAAACCTGAGAAAAGTCCTTTTGTCTTTTTCAAAAAGTGAATATAGAGAATGAGTTGTTAATTATGTCTGTAAAAACATGGTATAAMTCACTACACAAGTTTCTGGCTTTGATTGTAATTAAACTAAAAAAATAATTTCAAAATTAATTCCATGCTTTTTGTCCCATTCAGTGATGTGCTAGCAGCCAGTGAATTCTTTGCTAAATGATGTACACTCAGTGTAACATTTTTATATCTCATTTAAAGCCTTTGTTTTTATCAATCCTCAGTGATAAATAGAACTGTATTATATATCAGTATCTTGAAATTTCTCCAAATATTTAATGCTTATATTTATTTTATAAAGTAGTTTTAAGATGTGGAATAAACAACTTCTTTGGTAGAGTTATTGTACTAATGTTCAAGGGTCTTTCCAAATATGAAGYATTTGATTTTGTCCACTAAGACAGAATAAATAATAATGGTATGATTTGAAAATGTATTTCTAATGTGTATTAAACATAAAACTTGGTAACATAAATTGTTGTTAATTTGAATTAAATAACACTAGAAAGTGATCTTTATATGAAAAGAATGTACTAAAATATTTATAAGTCTTTTGACTACTTTTGTGGGATCCCACAGTTCTTTTTCATCTTATGTATATTACAATTTTATTTCAAAATGTATTAATACATTCTTTTGCACAATCTCATACCAAGCTATGAATAATAAAAGCTCATCATTCAGGTCTGAAAAGGACTTCCATTTTTAAATATACGATACTGAATTAAAAAAGGTCAGAAAGCAATTAAACCTTTGACTAAGAAAGTTGATAAAACCAAGAAAGTATTTCTGAATTATAAAGTATATGTTTGAAATGCAGTCTCTCTGTATCATGCAGAAAGCCATCAGAACATTTGAAAAATTATTTTTTAGGGAGTGGAGTTAATTATGCAAGTCATTATGAAGGGGTAAAAAGCTTCTATTCTTCAAAAGAATTGTAGCAATTTCAAAGAAATGAATACCAAATTCAAAAACTCAAACTTTTTAAGCAAAATGTCAACAYGAACATGATTACCATCTTTTGGGGTTTATGAGGTTTTTTTGGAGTRTCTGTGTTCACTAAGGATATTACTTTTGCCATTTTAGTTTCTCTTCATCTCCTCTTTTGTACACAGTTAATTTTTTTTTTTTTTCAGGAACTAGTATAAGCTATGGTAGCAAAATTATT